AAGTACATCAGCCATAATTGACTTTTCCATACTCTCTGATAGCAAGGCTATGCACATTGCTCTACTCTGACCAGAGGGATTTCACCCAAGACTTAATCCATGTGTGCACCCTGCAACTGGACTTTGGGCCTCCACTGCCGTCCATGGGCTTCTACAAACTGTGTGTTCATAAATTAAGCTCTGATACCATCCCGTCCTTCAGATTTGGATTCTGTTACCTACAATCCTTGGATCACACAGGTGGGTGTGCTTCTCCAATGTGGATGGACTTAGTTGCTGCCTCACTTAGATGCAGCTGTGTGAAGACGAGCCTTTAAGACCTCAGACACCACTTTTTCTGATTGCCCGGCACCATCTGTTTTTCACCACACTTTATTTACTATGGCACACGTATCGTCAGTGACCTCTTCACGAGAAGAGCATCGACCAGGGCCATGTCATAAGAGGTCATTGTTCTTAGATTGGACTTGGAATTAAACGCGAGCCCCGAGCCCACTCCTACATCCATGGTTCATGTGTTCACTTCAGAGACATCATGATCATGAAAGGAAGTTCTTCCATTTCCCTCTGCTTCTCATTATGTTGTCTGCTGGCCCCGTTGTCAGGCGTTTGGTCTTCCTTACCTTGAGTTGCAATCCATAAGGAAGGCTACAGTCTCTGAGTTCCATCAACAAGTCCTGCAAGTCCTGCTGGCCTTCAGCAAGCAAGGCTGTGTCATCTGTACATCGCAGGTTGTTGGTCAGTTTCCTCCAGTCCTGATGCCCTGTTCTTCGTACCGGCCCGGCTCCTCTGACTGTTTGATTGGCGTACCGATGAATAGATACAGTGGAAGGACACACACCTGTCCTGATCTGAAACCACACACATCCCTCGTTCTGTCAGAACTGCCTCTTGATCCATGTACAGGTTCTGCAGGAATCCTATTCTTCTCAATATGCAGAGTTATTTATGATCCGCACAAATGCCTTTGTAGAGTCAACAGAACACAAGTAAACCTCTTTCTGGGATTTTCTGCTTTCAGCCGCGATCCTTCTAATATCAACAATGATATTCCTCATTTCACGCCCTCTTCTGAATCAGCCTGAATCTCTGGCAACTCCCTGTCTGTGCACTGCTGCAATCATGGTTGAATCATCTGCAGCAACATTTTACTTTCCTGACATATCAATGGTATTGTCTTTTTAATTTCCACATTCTGCTGGAAGGGACACAAATATGAATCTCTTCCAGTTGGTTGGCCAGGTAGCTGTCTTCCAAATTGCTTGGCGTAAAAGGGTGAGTGCTTTTCCACAGCAGTGGGGGAGTCCCACCGGCCTTCCCGGGAGCAGTGTTTCATTGGCTTGTTGAAACATTTCGATAGTTTTTTGTTAGGTTCCTGGAGTCTTGCTTTTGTCACTTCTTTCAGGGCAGCTCGGACTTCTTCCTTCAATGCTGTTGGTTCTTGAGCACAAGCTATCTTTTGAAGGGGTTGAACGTCCACCAATTCTTCTTGGAATAATGACTCTATATTCCTTCCATCTTCTTTTTTTTGATGCTTCCAGTGTCATTCAATAGTTTGCTCCTGGGATCCGTCAATATTGTAACTCAGGGCTTGAATTTTTTTCTTCTTCAATTCTTTCAGCTTGGGACACACTGAGTGTGTTCTTCCTTTTGACGTTCTGACTCCAGGTCCTTATACACTTCATTATATCACTCTACATTGTCCGTTCAAGCTGTCTGAGATAGTTAAGGTTTGTTGTGCCAACCTGGCCGATAAACACATGTGGGATTAATCGAAGGGCGGAGAGTTAAATGGCTCGGTGAGCCTCTCCTTTCTGGTTCTCTGGTCTCTTGTTCTCTGATGGGGGGACCAGTATGTGGCTGCCTTATTTGGCAAGACTCACTCCCTGCGAGACATCCCTGAGGAGAAGCCACATGGACTAACCCTTGGTGCTGGAGAAGCCGCATGGAGGCCCCTGCCAGTACTGAGATGCTTACACCGCCACTGGATTCAAAGACTTTCCACCCACTGGTCTGTGATCCTCCTGCATTCGGCGTCATTGTGTGTGTTTTGTGAGTTTGAGGAGGGCTTTGTAGATCAGTGTCGGACATATGGGCTAAGTCAGACTTATGGGCTGGGACTGGACCGGGTTGGGATGCTTACTGAATGTACACTTACCCTAGATATAAAACTCTCTAAAACATTTATGAGCTCCTGTGGATTTGTTTCTCTAATTGACTCAGACTAACACCCTGCCCTTTGAACTTTTCTGTTTAAAGCTTTCTTTTATTTAAGCATTTCTTTCCTTTGCTTTTAGCTTCTCTTCATTTGAGAGCAAACTTCAGTCTCTTCTGTCATCCACTTTGGTCTTTTCTTCCTTTCCTGTGTTTTTAATAACCACTACTCTTATGATCTATGATGTTCTCAATGCCACCACAGCTCATCGGGTGTTCTGTCCTTAGTGTCCAGGGCATTAGTGTGTCCTTGAGATGTCCTCTACATTTAGTAGGATAGACTCAAGGCTGTTTCTTGACTCGTTTGGATTTGTCTTCGTTTTCTTCCGTTTAAACCTGAACTTGCAAATGAGCAGCTGGCACCTGACTTGGGTTTTTTTGGCTGATGATAGTGAGCTTCTCCTTTGTCTCATCCCACAAGTATAGTCAATTGATTTCACCTGGTGAAGTCCACATGCGCAGTCACTGTTTATGGTGTTGAAAAGTTATTTGCAATGAAGAAGTCATTGGCCTTGTAAAATTTTGTCACAAAATCTCCGGCTTCCCAGGGCATATTTGCCAACTACTGGTGCTTCCTCTTTGTTTGCAACTTTTGCATTACAATCGCCAATTGTTATCACTGCATCTTGATTTTATGTTTGATCCATTTCAGACTGAAGAAGATGGCAGGACTCGTCAATGTCTTCGTCCCTAGCTTTAGTGGTTGGTGCATAAACTTGAGAAATAGTTGTATCACAGATAGCATTGTATTTCAAGATAGATTTGGAAATGTTCTTTTGACCATGAATGGGACACCATTCCTCTTGCATTTGGCATTCCCAGCATTGGACACCATGTGATTATCAGACTCAAAATAGACTGTACCAGTCCAATCTGTCTAGGCTATTGATTTTTATGCATTCCTTTCCATATTTCATGATTCCCAACTTTCCTAGATTATACTTTGTACATCCCACATTCCGATTATTGATGGATGTGTTCAGCTATTTCTTCTCATGTTGAGTCACGTCTCATCAGTAGATGGAAGACCCTGCACATTGTATGGCCTCCATGGCACTCAGGCTGTCTCTGCATTGAGGAGGCACCTTTCCCCAGTCATTGTTTGAGGGTCTTCCGACCTGAAAGGCTCATCCGGGGCGACACCTGACAGTGTTCCCTTGCTATGTGTAAGATTTTCAATGGCCAGTCACTCAGAAGTAGACCGTCTGGTCCTTCGTTGTAGCTAGTTATTAGTCTGGAAGCTCAGCTGAACCCCGCCCTTTGTGGGTGACCCTGCTGGTCTTGGAAATATCTGTAGCATAGCTTCCAGCATCACAGCAACATGCAAGCCACCGCAGTGCGATAACCTGATGGATGGGTGGTGGAGAATCATCACATACCCTAGCAATGCCACGCCTCGGTCTATGAATACCCAAGAGGTTTGAAATCAAGGGCTCAGACAGATACGTGTCCATATTTGCTTATTGAAGCACTAGTCACAATAGCTAAGTGGTTGAAACATTTCCAGATCCACGGGCGAGTCATAAACATATCGTGGTATTTGTATGCAACAGAATAGTAGCCAGCCATAAAAAGGAATGAAATTCTGATACATGCTTCTGGGCTTCTGGAAATGTAATCTGCTATGTGAAGCCCAGGAATTGTGTGTGTGTGGGGGGTGAGGGTGGGGGTTGAATCTGCCCCTGGACATTATGTTTGGCAAAATAGAGTGTCAGCAAAGAGAAGGACATTCTCCACAAAAGAAATAGAAGCCGTTGCCATCACAATGGGCGCAAACACATCAGCATTGTGACGATGGCGCGGGGCTGGACAATGCTTGGTTCTGTGAGGTCACCGCGAGTTGGCACCAATTTGATGGCAACTAACCACCCAGGTGATTCTAAGGTAACAGGCCAGGCGGACACTGCCCGGCTGGTGGCAGCAGCCTTCAGGAATGGATGGCAGGAAGCATCCGTCTCGAGGAGAAGGGACAGAAAGTGGAGACACTTTTTTTTTTTTTTAATTAATCAATTTATTGGGGCTCATACAATTCATCACAATACATAGATCAATTGTGTAAAGCACATCTATACATTTGTTGCCCTCATCATTCCCAAAATTCTCTTGCCTCTTGGGTTCCCGGAATCCGCTCATTTTCCTCCCCCCCTTCCCTTCCTCCTCCCCTTTCCCCCATGCACCCTTAATAATTTATAAATTATTTTTGTATCTTACATTACACTTTGGCAAGGGGCAACGAAGAGAGTGAGGCCAGTCACCGCGGGACTCTGTGAACAGCTGGAGAGTGGGCCCAGTGGGCCCTGGCAGTGTAGGCACTGTCCTGAGATGTGTCCCGTCTCTGGGAAGGCCAATTGTATGACCTTGGGCAAGTCACTTTCTCTGGGCCAGCCTCGGCTTTCTCATCTGGAGAATGGTGGTTTCTGTGTCTAACTGCTCCCAAGTTGTCGCGTTGTTGGGTAGAGCCAGCAGATTGGAAGCTTCTAGAGAGGGCATCTGTCGCTGGTCCCGTAATTACTGGGGTTCTTTCCATTTAACCCTCTAGGAGGTAGGAGGTGGGAACGGGGGACTCTGTTTGATAGAGGCAAGCCCCAAGGCTGGAGGAGTGGCGGGCTTAACCAGGGTGGGAAGGGGCCCCTCCAAGCCCTACTGACCGAGCCCTGGTTATCGTGTCCTGAGCAAGAGCACGCGGCTGGAACCGTCCCCTTGACCCCTTGCCTCAGCCTGAGAGGCCTGTGAACCAAGCACGAAGCCTGGTGAGAGGGAGGACTGTGGGCCCAAGCCCCACCCACCGGCTCCTTCCTGCGCTTCTGCACACGCAGCCTCTGGGCGTCTAGAGCTGTCTCTGCCGCTGTCTGCGTGTGGCCGCTCTCCCTCTGCCGTGTGTACGTCTTCATGTGTCTGCCCGTCTGCCTGTCTTTGTTTAGCTATTTGCCTCTGTTTTTCTTTTTCCCTCCCTTTCTCATTGTGATCCTGCCGGTATCTCTCCGTCTCTGGGCTGTGTCTCTGTGAGTATGTGGATGTGGATGCTCCTCTCTCTCTCTCTCTCTCTCTCTCTCTCTCTCTCTCTCTCCTCCACTCCCCCCGCCCCCCACTCTGCCCCTTCTCCCTCCCCTTCAATGAAGTATCGATCAGTGGGGCTTATCAAGCCCCATTATTTCTCAGAACATTTGCCTTTGAACAATCCCGGCAGATGGGCTGGAGCCTGGGCCAGCGCCTCGGGCTGTTGGGGCCACGCAGCCCTCTGGGACCCAACCAGATGGGGCTGCCCATTCCAATGTACCCTTCCCCACCCCCACCTTTGTGCAAAAGCCAGCCTGGGCTGGCCTGAGATCCCCTGCTGGCTCCAGAGGGGCCATCATTCCATCATTCCTTTGCGGGCCCGGCAGTTGGGGGCATGTGGAGATGTGGCAGGCCAGGACAGGCCTCCGGGAACAGTGGGTCTGCCACCTCGGCTAACAGCCCACCCAGGCTGGACCTCCACTCCTAGTGATGCCACCTGGGAGGGGCCTTGCAGGGGTACTGGTCTCAGCTGACCCCAGAGTCTAGCCTCAGGGTGGGCATGCTGCATGTGTCGTTCGCTAACTGCCTTGGCTCAGCAGCCCTCAGCAGAATCCAGGGTCTTGTGGCTGTTGGGCTGACAGTCCGGGAGGCTGGCGGACATCCCTGTGGGCACCACACTCTGTTTGAGGGACTTCCGCGGGAGCATGTGTGGCTGACTCCATCTTTGGGAGCTGAGGAGAGGGCACAGGAAGACCCTGAGCTAGGGGGGTGGCAATGCAGGCTCTGACCCCTCCCCATGGGGGATTGGAGGGCCAAAGCACCCCAACCTCCTGAGACAAAGGCCAGACTCCTTCCTGGTGCTCAGGGGATGGGGTGGGGGTAGGAGGTGCTGTCTATGTTTCCACCTCCATGCCTCCCCCCACAGCCAGTCCCCCTGTGCGCCACATGGAAACACGGCTCCTTTTTCTGCCCTCTGGGCCTTTGCACAGACTGCCCTCTCTGCTCAGCCAGGAACGTGCCCCTCCGGCCCCCACACTCTGAGCCCCAGGTCTGCGCTTCTCACCACAGCACACGCACCTTCCCTGCTCACTGTGGGACGGTTTGCCTCCGTGGCCCCCACCCAGGGAGCTGGTGATGCCTTCTCAGTGGGCCGCCTTCCTTGCCTGGCTTCCTACGTGCAGGTGTGCAGGGTGTGCTCCGACCTCCACCCATGAGAGCAGGCAGGGACCGGGAAAGACAGAGGGCTGAGCAGAGGGCAGCGCTGGGGGGGATTCCTACCACCCCAGAGCCCTGTCAGTGCCTGCCAACAGAGCTGACTCCCAGCCAGGCTGGCGCACAAGGGGAGCCCCCGGGGGGGTGGGGGGGACAACAGGACTGAGGGCCACAGGTGCCCAGTGATTCTAGCTGCTCCCCTCCTCTGTCATTGGAGAGTCAGGTCTCTCCAATCTCCAGGGACTTCTGATCATCCATAGTTAACGGTGGCCAGGGAGCCGTGGGCTTGGAAACGCAGCCAAGGTTCTCTCTTCTCTAACACCCGAGGGCTGTTGTAGAGAATTGCCACCAATGGGGGAGCTTAAAACAAAGGAAACTGGTGGTCTCACAGTCCGGAGGTCAGGAGTCTGAAATGAAGGTGTCAGAAGGGACCCACTCCCTCTAAAGGTTCCAGGAAGGAGCTGTCCTGGCCTCTTCCTGCTTCTGGTGGCTGCGGACATTCCTTGGCTTGTGGCTGCATCATTCCAATCTCTGCCTTCATGGTTCACATGAACGTCTCCCCTGTGTCCAAACTCCCTTCTTATCAGGCACCAGCCATGGGATGTACAACCCTCCCCAGTTTGATGCCCTCTTAACTTGATTGCATCCACCAAGACCCCGTTTCCAAACAAGGTCCATGCACACACAGGGACTCCGGGAAGGACTTGGCCATGTCTGGGGAGGAGCCCTGGTGGTGTGGTGGTTCCTCGTTGGGCTGCGATCCACTAGGCCGGCAGTTTGAAACCATGGCCGCTCCTCTGGAGAAGGATGGGGCATTCTACTCCCACAAACAGTGCAACCTCGGAAACCCCCAGGGGCAATTCTACCCTGTCCTATAGGGTCACCATGAGTCCGCATCGACCTGACGGCAGGGGGTTTGTTTGTCTTTTGATATCTTTGAGGAGAGAAAACAAATCAACCCACAACAGCGTGTGAAAGTACCAAGCCACTCCCCAAAAGCACTCACCTCCTAGTCATCAGGTAACCACGCGAACATGCTTCTAACTCCACAGCTCAGCTCCACACAGCTTCTAGCCTGGCGGGACCCCAGACCAGTTCTCTCAAGGTGGGGACCCCTAGGCGTTAAGGGGTGGGAGCAGTCTGCAGGCAGCTGGTGTCACAACCCTGATAGTCTTCCCCTGAAACACAGTGAAGTGGGGGAGCGTGTTCTTCCAGGTGGGGAAGCACCCCCTTATCAAGGCTCTGAGGGACACTGTTGAGGGGAACGTCCCATCGAGGGCTCCCCCATCTTTAACACCCTTGTGGGTCTCCTAGTCTTATCAGGGCATTCAGGCTCAGAGGGCAGGGCTGGGTGGCCGATGGCATAGCACTAGCAGCTACAGGCTCTGGGCAACTTCCCTGAATCTTCATGCCAGCCGTTAGAGGTGGATGCCAGTATCATGCCCATTCTAAAGAGAAGAAAGTTGAGGTTTTCGTCAGGCCATTTGGTGACTCATGCAGGGTCACACGGCTAGGAAGAGGGAGTGGAGCTGAGGTTTCTCTAGGTCATTACCACCCGGTGCTCTGCACCCCTGTGGGCTCACACTCCAAGCCTGATTCCTGGAATAGAGGGACCACGAGTTCATCCCATGCAGGCCAGTGGCTTGACCTTGAGTGAGCTTGGCTCGGGTGCGCCCCACAACAGAGGGGTTGCTGGGTCTGTCCTGACTATGGTGGGCAGAGATTCAAATATACCTTCATTGAGTCATGCCCATCTACAATGTCAGCCCTGGAAAGTCTCCATCCACTTACTTATCCTGACATTCAGTGCGTACTTGGGACGTACTTCCTTGTGCCAGGCACTGGGCTGGGTACTAGGGACGCACCGTAAAAGACAAAGCCCTCCTTGCTTGGAACTTGTGTCCTGATGGGAGAGGCAGGCTGGACGGCCGGATACAGGAGGAGTCAAAGCACCTTGGCAGAAACCAGAGCATCTGGGAGGGACTTAGGGAAGATGGTGTGTGTGTGTGTGTACGTGCTGCGTTCACACACCCCCACATCCCTGTTTGTTCCTGGGCCCCTGACTTTGGGCTCCGAACACCCAAGAACCCCCAACCATCACATTTATTCCTCTTTGATGCCTGAGCTGAGGCCTGAAGGGAGCTAGGCTAAGATCCAGAGAGGGTCATTCCAGGCAGACGGAGCAGCGTGTGCAAAGGTCCTGCAGTGGTGGTGCTTTCGAAGAAGCCAGTGATGAGAGGGGGCTGAGAGGCCAGCTGGACCTGTGAGATCATCGGGGGCTTAGACTCTGTCTCCAGGGCACTAGGCGGCCAGCAGTGGACTTTGACGGTTGTACAAGCAGACTCGAGATTGGGAAGGATCACCCTGGCACCTGTGGGGAGAGTGGGTTTCTGAGAGCAGGAGATGGAGGAGAAGCCCTTGGGAAGACACAGGAAGACCCTGCCCTCTCCTCC